AACTGGTTCTGCCACACTGGCAGCTTCAGCTAGGAGGCGGCGTGTGTGTGCGCGCGTGTGTGTGTGTGAGAGACAGGGAGTATGAAAGAGAGAGAGAGAAGTCACTGTATATACATGCTATATATGGTCATTAAACACAGTGGGTTCCCATGTTGCAGCAACACCTTAAAAAACCCTCCATAAATCCAAAAGTACTTACAGTCACACTCAAACCGTTTGATTGACAGCTAGCACCAGCACAGCTACGAGTGCTTAGCAACAAGGACAGAGACAAGTATGTATTATAGCTCTTAATCTGTCATCTTGACAGAAAGGAGGATTTTCCCCGCAGGAACTGCAGCCAAAAAATGGTGGACTTTCATACTGAATTTTAAACCTGAGACCATTCAATCTTCTTCAAAGGCTTTCGCCATGCTTTCATTATGATTTCATTCTATTTTCAGCTGTTAGCACTGCTGATGCCATTATCGTTGTTTTCTTTTTGGGATACTTGTGCAATATCCTAAATGTTTATAGTAAGGTTTTATGACAAAATATTACAAAACATTACAAATGACAGCATACACAGACACTAGGAGATCAGGGGGGAGGGGGAGGCACCTGTGGCTGCATCAGACTCTCAATGAAAACTAGCTGAGCTCTGCATGATTAACAGATCGAGATAGTCCTCGAACCATCTCTTCATTGCAAACCAAGACAATTTAAACTCCGTCTAGTTCATTACTTTTACTGAGAGACATCCCAAAAAACTGTTGGTAGATAATGAAAACAGTTTCACACAAGTGATAACGGATAAAAAAAAAAGAAGAAAAGAACCAAATCATAAAATCTATGGTTATGATGATAGAGACACGCATAATATTGCAAGCTGCTTCCATTTCCAAGTTAGTCAGTGGAATCAACTCTTAATTAATTCATCTACTCATTAAAACATTTATTCTGAGTTCACGCAGCAATTCATCCAAACTAAATTACAAATAATTTAAGGAAAAGAGGCAACAGTTATAGATTTTGAATCTAAAAGTACACGGTTAAGTTTTGGAAAGATCCCAGCCGTAGTCAAAAGAAAACATTGTTGATTGATGGTGAAAAAGGGGTGCAAACAGATGTTTCTCATGTCAGAGGTCACACAATTTATGTATTTCTTTTGAAGAATCTGAGGTTATTGGTACACAGTAAAATACAACATTTTGTCACTATACCAAACTCACTTGCAATAACCTTCATTAAATAATCAATCCTGAGGCTGAAATGTTTAGGCTGAAACTATTTTGATAATGGATTCATTGTTTCAATTGTTTTAAAATAAGAAAATGCAAAACAGCATTCTTAAATGTGATGATTTTCTGAGGTTAAATGCTGACAAATTGAAGATTTTGGTAATATTGTGTTGTTTTAGAGTAATTGAGAAAATAACCAAAGGATTAATGATCCTTCATTTTCCAGTATTTTCCCATTTCTTACCAGGGGACCCTGGTAAGAAACTACAAAACTATATTTAATTTCTGTCATTTAATTATTAATGCCTGATAAACTGTATGTCTACTGCATGCAGATATCTATCTGCAGCTTTTAAATATTTATTAAATGCAGTCTGGCTGTTTCAGTCGACTCCACTTACTTGAGGCCCCTGAGGTCGTCTCGAGTGTTTGTGTGTTCCGGGGCCCTCTAACTTTGCTAGCGTCAAAAACTGTCCTTCTGAGGTTCAGTGATGTTCCTCCATGTGTGTGCGAGTGCGTCTCGTCTCCAGCCTCTGGCATGGTCAGGTCCGATTTCTATCACTGCACTCTTTGGACGAGTTAAGAAAATGGTTTGCGCTGCCGCTGCAATGCACCAGTTATCCATGAGTTTGTGTATTCTCATTCATTCATTCATTCATTCATGCATCCATCCGTGCATCGATTCATTCCTCATCAAACCTCTTTGTAAATCATCTCCAGCCCAGATGTGTATTCTTGCGCTGCCTGCCCTGCAGTTACCATACCCATAATCCCCTGGCTCATAGCACTGTAGTTCAGCGCATGGTTGCCTTGCTCATCATCCACAGCTGTATGTGCCCGGCATCTTAACATGTCAGATCTCATCGGACAGTACGAGTCTAAAGAAGAGGAAGAACCAAGAGGACCGAAATGATCAAACTTACACTTGCTAAAAGCTGCATAACGCTGTGTTGTTGGGTGTCATTTATCAGTGAGCTTGGGACTACAAGTGACATTACACAGTCTTTTGATTCAAGGGTGAAATGAGATTATAATTGCGTAACAGGGGTTTAAAGGAAGAAGATGACACAAAAGACCCTCCCTAGAAAAGTGAGGTCAAAGGTACGGGAAGCAGGCTTAACCACCACTCAAACCAGAAACGCTTCGGGTTGGTGTTTGTTTTTGATCAGGCGACAGCTCCGGGTCTGAAAAATTAAGCCAACACGCAAGTGCCAAACACTGCAGTTCCTTAAATGGCCAATTGACATTGGCTCCAAAAGCCAGCCAATCCCCATAGACCCCCCCCCTTGATAAAATGCCCAACTGTCGGTACAATACCACACTCCACCTGTGGGTGACGCCAAATATTGAAAAGAAAATATAAGGATTATCTTTTACTTTTTGAAAACAAGGTAAGTTGCAAGATTTTCCTTTAAAATGTTGATCCTTTTGTAAATGTTCTTTTAAGTACCTGCATAATAATAAGTACATCTTTTCTCCACTGTCATCTTAATCTTTTCTTGTTTTAAGAAAGGTTACTAAATTAATGGTAGTTATTAGCTTGATGCAAAAAGACTGTTGGTCAAATCACTGCAGGAAGAGGCCCAAAAATAGACAAAGTGATTTGCAGCATCCCGGTAAAGAAAAGGCTCGTTTATAGTGGTACAAAAGGTGGAACTACTAATAAGTTTTCAAAACGTTCTTCCACAACATCTTCAGAATCTCTCCAGAAAATCAAGGTTAATATTTAATTCATCCTTCAGAAAACAGCTTGTTGGATTAATATGGGAAATACAGCATCCCTACATGACTCAGTGTTGTCTGCTCATCAATGTGTAATACATCGTCCCTTGTGTGCGATGTGTTTTCTTAGGTGGCCCTTCAAAAAACTTAACTTCCTCATAAATAAATATTGCATCCTGCATCTGCATGGTACAGTATCTTGTTTCTTTGTACACCAACAAAGCAGGAACACAGTGTTTGAGCCCGGAGGAGTCAGACACAGTCAAAGTTCCTCACCAAACAGAAGTCTATTCATCATCGGTTTTTGCCAGGAGGCAGTGTGTACCCATTACTAGCTGCATTGACCACATCTGTGGAGAGAGTCAGGGGATGTTTTCCATTAGGAACATGGAGCTGCTTTGTGTGCAGCAGCTTCAGAGTTAAGGGTGAGGGCTTTTAGAGCATGCTGAACGCTTACGGGAGGTTTATTGTGCCCACGACACAAGAGTGCTGCAGTTATGGCTATCAGGGACAAACTCAACATCAAAAGAAGATGGTTAGATTAAACGGAAAACGGTTCAAAAGGGCTTCTATATTTCTTTTTAAAATACATTTGTGTATATTTAAGTATAGCTTCTTTCTATGTTCATTGAGTTCTATATTCATTCTCCCGTTTATGCAGAAACTGGTGGAATTTCTTCATTTTTGATGCGTTTTGAAAATTCTTTCACATCTATGTGGTTTAATGTAGCAGTCGTCATGCACTTAAAGACGAGTTTGTGGGCTTTTCATAAGGCCTAAAATATACAGACAAATATCTTAGAGTGCATCTTAAAAAGGTATTTTTACATCACAACAACTGCAGTATTGCAAAGATTGTCATGACATTTTGAACATGCACTGAAGGTGCCCAGAGTATGAAAATGAAATGTGCAGCAGCGGCGTGATAACAGAAGCAAGTTTGTGCCAAAAGGATCTTAAGTCTCAGTTAAAACAATGGAATTACTACACTAATATGATTAAGTGCAATGTAGTCGCTTGTCATATCTTTACAGGGTATATGATGTACTGTTGTTATTCAATAATAAATCACACAAACAATCTTTAGGATTAGGGATTATCAGAAATATGATGAATATCGTCCATATAGAAGTGAAGTTTCATGCTATGTAGATACAGAAAAGCAGCAGGCCCAGACTAGTGCCTTGTGGTACACCAAAGTTTACATTTCAGACTCTAACATTGCATTTAGGATTTTCTAAAGGAAGATCTACCAACATATGTTCTCAAATATCAATGTAGATTTTAAGATTATGGTTATATAGGCAAGGATCCACATTTTCAAAGGACAAAATAGCAACAAGGATATCGCTGATCCCATCCATAACTTCAGCAGAATGAAAACGATCTGAAACCCCATAAAAGCAACTTATATGAATTGTTTTTGGCTGGCTATGCTCCAGTTCTCTGACAGTCAGTGGTTACATGCTGTTGGTTACTAATGGAAATCAACATTGATTGCAGAGAAAAGTCTGGCAGAAAAAGCCAATATGACCCGTCACTCTCCTACTTTGTCTCTCCCCCTTTAACACACATTACTTTACATAACTTTCTATTTATAAGTTGAAGCGTTCTGACTTTTTCTTGACCTTCTAGTTATTATTTTTATGTATGAAACAACTTTTAACTATAAAATCACCCATTGGTAAATGTTCTTTTACTATTTAAAATTCACCTCCAAAAATGGTATGAAACTTCAGAAATTCCATGAACGGGAAATTGTCTCACTACATGGGTACTAATGGGGTCAACTCAGCCCCCTTTTGTCGCCACTCTCCTGCATCCAACAATCAGTTGGATTGACTGTCACTGTGATCTACCTCGCTCTCTCCTTCACACCCTTCTGCCTCAATTAGGACCCTGGCACCCTGATAGGACACATGGGTGGTTATGAGGACAAGCTCTGGTAAGGGTGGGGTGGTAATAGTGGGGTCTGCGCATGCTGGACTAGTTCATTACCTTGCTGGAGGCCATGGGCGGGGGTTAGACAACTTATAGGGCCCTGGGAGCTGCCCCAGCCCTTAGTGTGTCCACAATCTGCCATCTTGGTCCTAAAATCCCAGACTGCAATTCCTCTCTCCTGATAAGGAGCTTCCCCACATCTTAACCGGTAAGCCGTTTGACCTTTGACCTAAAGAAGTGTTAAAAAGAGCCTGAGTGAGAATGCTTGGCTATCAAACGAGATATATATGTTTTAGGTTTAATCCTGATATAGAGATCTTCAGCTCACAAATACTGTTGATTTATTCAGTAGAGAATTATTTATGATTTTAATTTAGGTGGCTTATTATGGCCATTAATACTGCTCCATAAATAAACTTTTTACAGTTAATGAGTAATTTCTCAGAAACTGAGGACAGTGCATTTAGGACTAATAAGGATTAGACTTTACTCAATTATACAAGATGTTATGTAAACTAGTTTTTTCCACAGTGCTGCCACCAGTCTTGCTTTTGGGTTTTGAAGGTGAGCCAACAGTGTCGTACGAATACAAAGCAGATATCCTCTGACGTGGCGCTCTATTTTACCACACTCTTCCTTTGCCTCTTATGATTCAATGTGGAGCAAATTTAATGCTCTATTTCTAGTTCATCCCATGGGACATTGTACAGTCGGGTGGGTAGGTAGAGGCATGGTTACCATTTTGTGTTGTATACATACAAAAAATTAAGAGCACATGCATATTGGGAGCATTGTTACAGAGCCATCATTTTGTTTGATATCGGACTAAGTATGGATTTTTCATGAAGAGCTTCTATGCGAGACGAAAACAATCGACAATGAGGTGAAACGCGTTCTTCATTGTCTGCATTGCCCCTAATCCAGACAGCATAACCCCACTGTTTGCTTTCCCTGGCAGCTTCCTTTTAAACTGCTGTCTAACCCTAATATTGTCAGATTAAGCTCTGCACACAACTGTCCATCTGACATGACGGCTGGATTTGAGCTGGATTGGAAAATCTGGATGGGATGCCTCCAAAGCTGTGTAATTCTGCACACACACACTCACAGATAGCAGCAGATTAAAAAGCAGAGGAGCAGGGAGGCCGGGCAGGATATGCATGCCACCGTAGACTGTTAGCGCACTGTTGGGGTTTTGTGCATGTTTAAATGTTTGTGCGTGTGTTTGGTTTGACCTCTACTTCTTTGAGGGGTTTGGCTGCATCAAAAAGTTCCTCAACTGTCCTGAGTGAGACGGCACATAACGTCAGTGTATTTTGAATCTAAGATTATCTGAAGACGTAGCTGGGTTACTTTTGCATCGATTGTTATCGACAATGACAAGGACGATAGTGGATTTCAGGGGCGCTCGACCCTCCCCTGGGATAGACGAGCGCCCTGGAGGCTACACTGATTCAGACCACCTTATACCCAGACGTGCCCCCACGATGCCCTTGTGCCTCACTAGGCATGCCGCCCTTTTGTTGCAGCTGAGGAAAGGGGGGCCGACAAGGCGGTGGGTGATGGTCACCCAGATTACGCCACATCATACGGCCTATTTACACTTGACACCAAACAGTATGGCAAACAGAGTATCGCACCGGAGCAACAAAAACTGTGCTCATTGAGGATGCCAGTCGGTTTAATTTCGTCATATAATTTCGAGAACGGTCACGTGTTCCTCTGGTCGCTCATGTGACCCTGTGGTACAGACCAATAGGGTGGCACGGTTTGTCCTGGGCAGACCGAAAGGAAGAGGGGAAAAAAAATAATTTTCCCTTTGCGATTTTTAATCTTGCAACGCTGAAAGTGGTCGTCATCTACTGCATCCTGCGCTACATAAAGGTAAACTCTCTTTTTAAGGCTCTTGTGAAGAATCATTTTGGTAAATTTTAGGTCACGGGGTGTATTTCTTCCATGTAATGCTAGTATTGAAATGTAAAATGTATTTTAATTTTTTTTTTAGAACACTGTTTCTGGACTTCTACAAGCATCAAACTATTGAAAACTTGCATGAAATACTGATCCATGCTGAGCCCGGTAATGCCGTTCAATAATTAATTAACTTGATAACTTACCCACAGTCAAGAATAATCATTATCCGCATAATGAGCTGTGACACAGTACGACTTATTGACTCATTATCTAATCTGGTTATTTGAAGTAGATCAAGTTAGCATTTGCTGAAGTTATCCCCAGCGCACCCAAATAAGGCAACTACAAAATATTTTGGTTTTCCCCAGAGAATAGTCAATTTCATGGTCAGTCGATTTTGCTTTCGGGGTTATCTTGATCATCATTGTTTGGGTATTCATCATTGATTCAAGCATGAGCGATTTTATTGTTTAAGAATTAGCCCTGAATGAAACATAAAAAAAAATGAAGGACAACTGGAAAATCTGCAGTTTATCTATTGCTAACTATGAAGCTGGACTAACCTTTCTCACAATAGGGTTGATAACGTGATGGTACGTGGAATTGATACATCAGTCCCCCTCCCCCATGATCATTATTCCAATTATCATCACTCTGATATTAGCGCTGCGGATAGCCTTATTCTCCGCTAGTCATAGACCATAAATGTCATTTGCCATTGCCTCAAACGCTGCGTTCGACTCGAAATACACCGATGAATAACTCCTTTGTTTGGGTAAAAAGCAGTGACAGTTTGGTGTGCTCACAAATCTACGGTCCTTCTGTAGGCGACGATACTAAATTAGAGCAATGACTGAAAGGGGTTTGGTAGGAATGACTACCATAGAAAACGGGACGTGCTTTGGACCCGTTCTGCATGACTGCTCGGCAAAAGCGTTGCGTATGGAAGCCATGACTTTGTGACAAGCAGTGATCTCACATTACAAATTGTGGCAAATCTAAAATGGCCGACTTAACGCTCAGCTCGTCGCACCGCGTTCACAGCACAACATGGTGTGCCTGCATTGTAAAGCCCTTTACACTGTGCCGCCGCCAACGCCAACTCACTGGAACCCCCCCACCCCGGGACTATTTCAAGCCTACACGTAGCACCCTAGAGGTACTTTTGAAGCTACTTGGCGATAGTTGGTCCCTGTGTCTTTGCTGGTCGTTGCATTCTCTGATTTATCCATTTATGTTGAGGATGTGGTGGCCAGTTTTGATTGTGATTTAGGCTGAGCTATCAGGATGCTGGGCTGCTGATGTGGGCTGACAGCTCTTGAGAGCACTGTCATAGCGCGTATAGGAAGGCCGATGGGGTAGACGCCCCCCCCACTCCGCAGCACAACACCGCACCACATACAACAAAAGCCTGCGCCAGACGAGACAAGAGCTGCTCATATACCAGTAAACTGAGGGCCAGATCCTCAGGATTTAGTGTAACTCCACTCCTCAATCTGCCTACAGTTACCATTTCTGACAGGAGCGACCATCGCCACCAATTATTTATCATGCTTTTTTTCTCCTGCTCCTTAAAGTCCTCATCCCTGTTGCTTTCCCTGCCACACACTTTGTCTCCAAGAGGTTTGCGCCTCCAAACGAGTTGAAAGAGACCTGAAAGTGAGAAGTTCCTTCATGCAGAAATGAGATGCTTTGAACAGATCTCGTGAAAACATATGGATCAACGAGGTCACCCTCTGTGCTCCCCCTCTGCTGCCCTACATGCACACTAATTTTCGTTTTGTTCACACTTAATTGGAGCACAAACATGTACGTGCGGAGATCTCCCCGGTCGTGGGTCAAACATATTGGCTTCATTACAAGTTATTTTTTGCTCCAGATGTTTACTTTCCTGGCTGACTGCATTGCTTCAATTCTTCTGTTCCGTTACTCTCTAACCGTGAAATGCTAAAATTAATAACAGCAATACCTACAAGAGGATTTACAATATGATAACACTGTAAAATATTATTTTTACCATATGTTAGCATTGGACAACATGCAGAAGATACAGTGCTTAATCCACTAGAGCCTTCCACATTTATATGCAGGTTTTTATTGTTCAGAACATTTGAAGAGAAACCATGAAGATTTAAAAAGCTCTCTAACAAAGACTGGAATTGCAAATATAAAGAAAACCTTCATAGAAGCAGAAGTGAATTATCTTTATTAGGTTATTTGTTCACAGTTAACCATGAAAATAGCATTTAACCAAAACTTTCTCAGTCACCATCCTTAACTGAATAACTTTTTCAAACTTGACCTCCTGCAGAAAAGGCTTCTTACATAAGAGTTAACCTCAACATTTTAATTTAACTTTGCTTTAAATGATTGCAGCTGTTTATTTACAGTACATAAACAATCCTTAAAATATAGTTGTTAAAAGGTCAATGCATTCTTTAACAGCATAAATAGATAAACCTAGTTTGGGAGACTGGTTTTAAGGGCGACTGAATCCCTGAACTTCCTCCAAATGCAAAACATCACAAACGAGAACTTTGACCATGAAGAATTTAAATGCCAAATTTAGTGATTTTACTTTAAGACTCCCTGATAATTTGCATAAAATGCCATACGTCAACATTTTTAAATTGAGACAAATAGGCTCAAAAGCCATTTTTCATTTTCCTTTGCACTTCCTACACTGTTTATCCATTAATCCTAACAGAGACAAGACTCTCATGTACAATATATTGTTCAATATGCAAAATATTGGTCTTCCACTGCAGATTCATTTTGTGAAAGCTTGGCCCCACAGCTTCAGCTCAGGCTCTGGTGTAGTCATGGAGGGTTTTATATCAAAACATAATGACATATCTGTAGATATGTGGATTAGGACGGAACAGATGACAGCGGCTTTGGCCTAGATTAGACCGACGGCCGTCCATTTAATGATTTTCCCTACAGGATTTCAGATGTCTCTCTCTTTCAGCTATTCTATTGATAGCATAACGGATTGTATGGCAACATGATGATGTGAAAACATCTTTCAAAATGATGAGACATGCCATACAACTCTATAAAATCAGTTTTAAACATGCACAGGATTTGGAATTCATCGGGGGTTTTTTCCTTCAAATCTTATATCGTTGCATTTGGTGTTTCAGTGGATCATTTTAGTGACATATGATTGTCTAAATTTACTCTGATGAGGATCTTAGTCGATTTAAAATTACAAATACAAAGAAATCTGAGCAGTAAACATATTTACAAATGTCCCAAAATACATGGTAGAGTTTGTAACACTGACTCCTTCCATCAGTCATCTCTTAAAATGCAAAGAGAAACCGCTTTTGAATTGATTATTCTACATTGTGTACCTTTATGCGAGGTGCTAGATTAATTTATAAACATCTAAGATCTATAAAAATGACTTTAAACTGAATTCATTGGCCAGGAATTCTTACCAAAGAAAGGTGATTCAAAGCTATAAGAGAAAAAAGTCTTGAACATTTTGTCTTTGTGTATTTTGAGATACACGCCAGAGTTTTTTTCACGTTTTAAAACACTTTTGGACAGAGTGAAGTGGATCATGACGAAAGGGGCCAAAGGAAGTTGATGGTCACTTAGCTCTGCAGCGGCTCTCGGCCTAAGAGGGGCTTCTAGTTGTATATGCAGTGAGTGCTATAATGAGATGCCTCCATATCTGAAGCAATGCCTGCCTCTCAAAGCCAACAGAACCAAGAGGCAGATAATCCTCAAATCGTTTTTATGCCTTTAAAACACTGATATAGTTTGAATAGCAGCGTCAGTGTTTAATAACCATCAGTTATTCTAGCACTTTCCTCCAAAGCATCTTCAAATGGCACTTTCACCGGCCAAATATCTCCTCTTAACTTTGCTTTGAGTGGTTTTGCATCAACTACACATCAGTGCCTCTGCACAAAACAGCATCTCCTCATTGTTAAGAGCACATAAAGAGATCAAAAGAGAGGAGACGTTAGATTCAAGTTCTTCAAGAGCAATGCACAAGTCTTTTTTTCTGTGGCGAGCGCTGAGCGGACTCAGGGAGAGATGGGAGGCGAGGGGGGGAGCCATTTTGTGCTTTGCATTGTCCAGCCGAGCGTAAAGCGTGATTAATTCAATAGCCGCCATAGAGGAGGAGGCTAACAGCACTGCAACACCGAGCATGACCCACTTTCCCCATCAGATGTCATGAAAAATTCCCTGCCATCCCTCTCTGTGTTTCTCCAACTTCCTGTCTGATTAACAAAGAGACAGTGGAGGTAAATTACTAAACCAATGCATGTGCAGCATGTTTGCAATGATCAGAAGTGGCCACACATTTAGTAGAAATATGAGCTTTTAGGGGAATGATGGTTGCTTTTAAAATGCTGCAAGAAATTTGAGCCTTATAATAAAAATAAAACAGAATTGCTGGGAGGTTTTAGCCCATTGGGGCAAATGATTCACGGGGCCTTGACCCAATTCTATTATGCTACAGGATGTATGAGCAAAATACAGTCTGGGAGCACAACTATTCAAACACAGCTCTTAACGCTGACCTCATTCATCTCATTCTTGTTGACCTAAATCTACAGCAGAGTTTGTGTTTAAATCACAGGGAAGGAGGCTCTTTGAAGACATTTGTTTTTCATTACTGTGCAAGAGCAGGCGAAGGAAGTAGGTACAGGCCTCAGTGTTCCTAAAATATGAGACAGCATGTATAAAATGTTATATAGTCATTAACTGTGAAAAAGAAATCTTCATCTGTTCCTTCCAAAACCTCAATTTGTGGCCTTGAAAGGGGATGAGTACTGCGTCATCCATCATCAACGACGCTTGAATCCTGTCATAAATCTTGGAGTTTTTTCTGTCCCTCACGCCCTCACCCCCTCCCATCCCGCCCCTGGAGAGGACCTGCACCGCTGGCTTGGGTCTTAAACCCGGATTAAGGCTTTTTATGTAATCTGGTCTCCTCTGGGAGATTGGAGAGACAGCTGGCAACAGAATCCCTGTCCTTATCTCTCGGACCTCCCCTGGCCTCCAACCAACACATCCCTCAGCTCTCAGCGTAGATTAGAGGGGGAATGATTTCTGGAGCCTGTGGTTGATGGCATACCATACTCCTGCAAAAAAATGCCTTTTTAACACATCTGTGGGTTTATTTTAATCCATAAAACACTTGAACAATTTACAATAATCTTAGAATGACAGCCTAACCCTAACTCCACATGCATGATATCCTTCTTCAGCACAACCTCAGCTAGAAGTCTGACTTCGCATTCAATCAGTTTAAGTATAAAGCTGCCAGGAACCCAAAATACAACTATAAAACTGCACAAATATTTAGTGCTAATCACTAAAAATATCATTATTGAACAGCTCAAGGTATTCAAACTAAGGTTTTATTAGTTATACACACAAATACATGATATATAAATTAAATTATGTTACTATAATTAAAAAGTGAATTCGATGATGAAAGGCAGGGCTCCTACTTTTGACAGAAATGTTGAGTTTCCATCCTCTTAAATATGAATATTTGGATGTTTTCTTGCCTTTAGTTTCAACAATAAGGTAATTTTAAATGTCCTTGTTAACTGATTGTTTATCTGTGAGTTTATTATGCGAGTGATCTACATGTAATCTATGCTGGTGCTATTACTACGGTGCTATCATTATGTGGGTCTGTATGGTCAACCAGTCAACAATACACAGACGTCCTCCCTAAACTTCCTACTTTACTTACTATACACTTGACTGAGAATTAATCAGCAACTCTTCTGATAATCAATTCATTCTTCCAATAAATCATTCTCTGGCTGCAGCAACGAGGATCTGCTGCTTCTCCGTTTTAAATCATCATGAAGTGAATAACTTTGAGTTTGGACTGTTTGTCACACAAAACGAGTGATTGCATTGTGAAATAACGTATAGACAAAAGCATGACTCTCTTATTAGAGAAGATAAATGATGAATTGAGAATGAAGATAATTTTTATAGTTGTAGCTGCATTTACATTAAAGTAAAACTTACTTTACTGAAGCTAAGAGCTTTTTCTGCACGGTTCATAAGACTAATACAAGAGAATAAAACATGACTTCTCTGTAAAAAAGAAAAATACTCCTAAACTTGTGTTGTGTGTTGTCCTTTAGCTTTAAGTACTGAAATAATCTTCAATGCTCAGCATGTTAGGGATCTTGTTTTATATAGAATAAGAGCATTTCCTGCCCCTATAGGCCGACACAGTGCAGAGCCACCCATCTATGAAGATAGATGTGCGTTTACAGAACCTGAGCAGCATTTAGAGCAGTATGTTAAATTAGACTCATTGTGTTGGTGAACACGATGACGGAAGAGTCAACGACTGGAACATCGACCTTTTCACAATCCATGAAATGATCGGACTATCGGTCCGATCATTTCATGGATTTTGTTTGACTGATTCTAATTATCCTCATTTCTTTTCGTCGAGACTTAATCAGCTAATTAGAGAGAGGGGAGGGAGGGAGGGAAAGAAAAAAAATCATTTCCATTTCCACATAGCAACAATGCCTCTGATTGGCAGATGGTGACATTATCCGTCTCTTCAGTCAAGGTCAGCTGCTACAGCAGCTTTTCTTTTTCGCATATTTGCATTGACCAGACTATAAAAAATATGATTCATTGCATATTTAGTTCGGTTTCTCTCCGAATGTTTTATCATAAAGAGGAAGCAAACTATCGCATTAGATGTGAAGGTTCATGGTGTGAAATAGAGCTAAATCATCACTATGTTTTAACATATTCTTGTATTACTTGACGCCCGGCATCTTTATTTACTTGGTACAGAATAAAAATAGGAAATCTCTCAAATAAATAAATTTCAATTCTCATTTTCACCCGTCTCTGTGCCCTCAGAATCTACCTGGTATAATTGATCGTATTCCATTAATTCATTCATTTATATTCATTTTTTTTTATCATTTCAGAAGTTAAGCTCATCATCTACAATCATTATTTCAGCTTAAAAACTGACTTCATTGCAGTCTTACACTCTAAATGCGTTTCCCCTTCTAATAAGAGGATCATTTTTTCAAATATAGTTGCAATCTCATTTAAATGTAGTTATTTTTGTCATCATTTAGAGCCATTAACAACCATCTGAAATCTCATAATATAAATGCCAGATAAAGACATTTCTGAGTGACTTATTCACAAAACAAGTTTCAAATGTGGCCTCAAATGTGCACCAGATTAAAATACACCAGCCCTGACTGCGGTGAATGACAGATCCACCGTCAGGACCGCAGCGCCCTCTTGTGGTCGCTCTGCAAACTGAAGTCTTGCTTGACTCATTACATCACTCGTCAGCCAGAATTAGATGGGTTCAGCTGCAATGGGCTTGATAAAAATAAATATGGCGCTTACTGTTTGATGGCTGAAGATACATATGCTGACCTACATTTCAATGGCTTTCATTGTAAACTATTTTGTAGCAAAGAGACGGTCTAGTGGTTTGTAACAGAGATTGAAAAGAGTATTGTCTTTTTACCCCCAGGAATAAAAATCAGATGCTGGGCCCCAGTTAACCCATTCTCCTCGCTCTTTCTGTGCAGTTTTACAGATCGAAGGCCCCGTGTTGGCCGTCTGGTAATATGAGAAATATGCAACACATAAGCACACAACTGAAGTAATAAAGTCCCCGAAACTAGATTTTAGCACTCTTTAAAACTCAACTTAAAAGGATACGTTTGAAGATATTCTGTATATTTTTGTTTATTTTGACTAAATCCCACATACAGCGCCCCAAATACTCACTAGAGCACCAAATGTGGACTACTCCGCTCATGAAAATAGTCCCAAACGAAACCGAGTTTTCTTACTGTTTGAGTTACATTTTCTAAAAACTACAGTGACCAGCTGTTTTAGGAAATTAAAGACTCTTTTTAAAAAGTGAAACACAATGTTTGTGGCTGATTTCTAAAGTTTTACTTCCTCACATCAATATAAACCAATAAGCTTTGGGCTGATGACAGAGACAAGAGGAGGGAAGTCAGAAAGTAAGAGAGTACGAACTAAAAGTTCCTTGGTAAAATAAAACAGCATCTAATCTCAGCAGGTGTGTCTGTACCTTTCCTCTCTGGCAGGTGACCGGTTGGCTGACTCCACCATCACACTCGCATTTGGCCCTTGAACTCCTCTCTCACGTGACCACGCCCCTTCCTTCACATCCAATCCCGACATGGAGCCCATCAAGGTCCAATCAGAAGGTGGACTAAATGTGACCCTCACCATCAGGCTGCTGATGCACGGCAAGGTACAAAAACACAAAAGAGGGTCTCTGGGCTCTTCTGTGACTTTATTTTTCTTGCTTTTCTTTCCAATTATCAGAAAATAGATTGTTTCAAAGCTCCCTGTGGCACACATACACCCAACATTGTTTGTTTGTGTTTCTGCAGGAGGTTGGAAGCATCATAGGAAAGGTATTTATCACAGACACAACAAGCAGACCATGTAAAGCATCATAACGCCTCTGGGAAATACATCATAATGTGTCCTTTTCTTTACCTCCAGAAAGGAGAAACGGTGAAGAAAATGCGTGAAGACGTAAGTAGAACTTTTCTGCAAACATTTTTGACACACTATGTGTTTTTCCTCTCATAATGATGTGTTTTTTGTCCTGTAGAGTGGAGCCCGCATCAACATCTCAGAGGGGAATTGCCCTGAGCGGATAGTCACCATCACCGGGCCAACAGATGCTATTTTCAAGGCCTTTGCCATGATAGCCTACAAGTTTGAGGAGGTATAACATTCATCATATAAACAAAATACCATATTAGACAGAGTCAATGGCACCGGGGATGCTGCAGTGGTGAGGATGTATGCAGATACTTTACTTCAGTAAAAGTACAAATACACTGTAAAAGTAATCAAAAAAATGTATTTCATAATTAGATTAATAATATTATTCATGCATTCATGTAAAAGCAGCTTTTTTATTGTGGTAGTTGGTTTAACAAGAAAAGAAAGAAATCCTTATATTTTGAAGATGGAATTATGAGATGTTTTGCATTTCTTAAAATGAAAGTACAAGTAGAAAGTTGCATGAAAAGAAAATACTCAAGTACAGTACAAGTACCTCAGATTTGCTCTTAAGTGCAGTACTTGAGTACCAGTACTTAGTTACATCCCACCATCACGCTTCATTGTCTGTACTGACTCGTCCCTAAATGGAATACAAAGCAGGCTGGCCCGATATGTAGGACAGAAATGTGCTGATCTAACCTTGCAGCACCCTTTGAAAGTGGGCCAGTACTGTGTTTTGATTTGGGTGCCGAATCAGCACACTAAACCAGAGAGTCTCCGAAACACTACACGTGAACCTGTGCTAGGAACGAGTGCATTTATGCCAGTTTGGAAGAGGAAAAATATATAAATACAAGTAAAGTTCAGAAGTTCACATTCTGAACTGTAGTTAATCCCCCCCAGTTATCATTTAGAAGCAGTATATAAAACATATCATAAATTGTTTATAACATAATAAGTTTAAAGCAGCAGAACTACACTCTACAAACACATCCAAGCGAGAGTTTTCTCTACCAATGCAGAAAACATGCATGAAGGTGGATTTCTCCAAAGCCACCACTTCCAATCCAGTAACAAATGTGTTCGTCTGATAACACCTGGTCTTTCCTGCCCTCAGGATATAATCAACTCTATGAGCAACAGTCCAGCCACCAGTAAACCCCCTGTGACCCTGAGGCTTGTTGTCCCGGCCAGCCAGTGTGGCTCACTCATCGGCAAAGGAGGCTCCAAAATCAAAGAAATGAGAGAGGTAGAGTCTCAAATCTATGCTAATGATCTCAAATACCATACGAATTGAGATATTACCAGATTTTAGAGGGATTAAACTAACCAGAATACTTATTTTTAATTGGTGCAGCCATGAGACATTATAGTCATCGTTCATATAAACTTTAAATTCTGTCCATATGCTTTGTGCCTATTTCCTAAAACAAATTCAGATTGAATAACTGTTCTTCTTACCTTTAGTCCACAGGAGCTCAGGTCCAGGTTGCAGGTGACATGCTCCCCAACTCCACAGAGAGAGCAGTGACGATCTCAGGGGCCCCAGAAGCCATCATCCAGTGTGTCAAACAGATATGTGTGGTGATGCTTGAGGTACAGAAGGGAGGAGGGGAAATGAAGGAACATACAGTATGTTTGGATTAAAATGCCTGATGTGGAAGATGTAGTAGTTTGCCTACAGTTAGGATTAGTTAAGATTTCAGCCAAATAAACTCACTTTCATTTAATTCATGCCACGAGCAAAAAGCACAAGATTACATGCTGCATCATTTCCTGTTAAGTACCTGTCCATGTGGATGGTGGACTCCTCCACTTACAATGAAAACGGCAACTATATACTAGGAAGGAATATAACTTGAACACAGCTAGACGTTAGATCTGCTGCATCAGGTGCTCTCTAATAAAAATATATCCATTTCTGTGATATCTGTTGCTAATATAATTTCCTAAATGATGCATTTGATTGTTTTTTTTGGTGTTCTGACATCTTGATTTGGTAATCTGGAAAGCACATTTCTCCCCAACTACAAATAAAGCAGAAACTAGCAATACAGTCCTATAGGTACATGTCAAACCATAATAAGTCATAATGCTTTAATCAAAAGGCTCCACACTTTGTAGTTGTCTCTCTTTTTCTTGCACCATTAATGTGAACTATCTGCACAGCCAGTTCTCCATTGGGCCTTCATGATGGCACCAGCCATGGATACTAGGAGATATGTGACAGGACTGTAAGTCTCCAGAATGTGGACTTTTTAAAGATATTTTAAAACACAGTATGAACAGTAGAGTCATCATTATCCAGTTGAAAGTGATGTTCCAGGTAAATCCAAGTTTAGTTGTGCACTGAACCACGATTTGGACATTTGACGTCAGCATGAACACGCAGTGAAGAGCACTTTTGTGTCACAGGATGTCTTCCCTAAAGGCACCGCCCCTCTATGGTTCTCTCTTTCTTTCTGTTCTAACACTCTCTCCACATCTCACCCCTTCTTCCCCCCACTCTCTCCTCCTTTGCTCTCCTCAGTCCCCACCGAAAGGTGCCACCATCCCCTACCGCCCCAAGCCTGCCTCCACCCCTGTCATTTTTTCAGGTGGCCAGGTAAGAGCAGACCCACTGGGGGCGTCCACAGCCAACCTCAGCCTCTTACTGCAGCACCAGCCACTGCCTGTTAGTGTCTCACCAGGTTTTATTCACTTTTCCTCCCTCCCTCCCTCACTGGCCCCCACCCCCGCGGACCCCCCAGACAAGCATGAAACCATCACTGCTGTTTAATGTGCCCTCACTGTCGCCCATCACCTGCAGCCACTCAAACCAGAACGGGGTTAAATGAAACTGGACAACTTACCCATCAATTGATGAGAACAGAGGCGGTGAAGGAGACTCCATGATGATTCTAAATGGACAGAGCAGAAAAACTTTTGACTCACTAAATAGTAAACTTGAATCAAGTCAGAATATAGAAAATCACTTTAACTCTGATATTGAACTAGTTAACTTACCAGGACAGAACCAATCTCGATTTTGGCTGCAGAGCTGGACTAACACATCCGTTGGCAGACAAACATCTGCTCATGTTGAGGTAAAAACTTGCAAAGCAAGAAAATCAAAAGTGACCCAGGCAGGAGAGCAACAGGTAAACACAAGCTAAAAAGAAAGCAGGTTAAATCAGGTGATCTACAAAGGAAGGAACACTAGAGGGACAACTAGTGGACTGGATGTGAATGACAGGAGATGAGGACAAACAACACGACACTGAGGCTAATATTCATGAAAGATAGAGACAGTTGTAAATGCTACCAGTAAAGAACATCTCACATCCACTACAATCCTCCGGGCAGCTACAAATTATTACTTTCATCAATGCATATCTGGATTATGTTATTAATCAATTAATCTTATGGTCCACAAAGAGTAAGAAGACTCTTGAAAAAATTTAATTAACAGGCTGCAGAGAAGTCTTGATATTTTTGTTGATAAATGACTTGATAACCAACTAATTAATGATTGGTTGATCAATTACTTCAGCGCTTTATTTGACTACCTTCAGCATGCTTCTTGTTAGGAATATGTAAATCATAAGTATTCTCATCAATTAACAGGAAAGTATTTGAATTTTTTAAATTTCATTCAAATTCCTACAGAGGACATTTTTAAGAAAGCAAAACAATACCTTAATCTGGAAGACTTGTTTTTTCACCTACATGTCTGCATGACTATATTTCCACTCTACTGAACTCTGCAGAGACTTAACATGTTGTTTTCTGTGGTTACAAGCTCTGGTTGCTGTCTCGGACAATAAATAAAATAAAATGTAGCTCAGTTCTGACCTCTGTAGCCCTTATAAAGCTCACATCCAATAGGTCAAGTCCCATTATCCTCTCAGGGCCGCTCCACTCCCTCACTGTCACTTCCCCACTGTCTGAGTTGTCCCTTATTGATTTAGTTCAACTGGATCTGATTGATGAACAGTAGGAGCACATGACAGGGAGTCTATAGTGCATGACTTTATTGTAATATGGCTAAAAATACAGCTTAAAAGATAAGAAAATGAGTCTGTAGAGTGCTTGTGTTGTAGAAATGTCAATTGTTTTCTTTTTCAGTCTTTTGTTGTATAGTTTTAGTTTGTCATATGCAAATCACATGACCCGAGTATTTATGTGGGACTGTTTCGATGACATAACGAGATAATAAGCTCTTCTCCTCATGTTTGCAGGCTTATACCATTCAAGGACAGTACGCCATCCCTCATCCAGATGTGAGTGTAACCCCATGAGGCAGTCAACACTGCACTCTCTCCATAATTCTGTCTCACTGCATCCACATTTCTCTCTTTACTCTCTTCTTCTCTACCCATATTAATATTAACTGTTAATATTAATACAGCTCTTTTTTTCTGATATGTAATTCCTATTTCTTCTAACTTTTCTGACCTGGCCTTTGTTTGCCATTAAACCTCATGGGGCTTGGCCTGGTGGCTGGTGTTTCACTTTAATTCAATAGGATATAACGACCAACTGGAACCTGCTTTAAACTGGTAATCTGAATGTTACAGCCTAATAGTAACGCAGGTGAAATTTGGGCCAATTTGAAAAGTTATCTTTGTTGCCGCGTTCGAAGACGTTCTGACATTCAAGACTGTCAGTTGACAAAAAGCATTTCAATTAAAATCAAAACCGGAATAACAGTGATTGAACTGAAGCAGTCATAGAAGGCTGCTTGGTAGCGCGTTGAAGAAGATGGAGTTGCCCTTTCATCGTATTTAAAACTCCGTCACAATGTGACAAAACATCTTTACGATGAAGAATTTCATTTCAGTGTCTTCAAAATACCTGAAATGAGTCGAAGCTGACAGCAAAAAAGCAATACTCACTTATATCCTAAACCAAACAATGTGGTCACATGGGCAATTTGACAACTCACTTAACCCCTCCCACAAACATTTATTATCCAATCACAGTTTAGCAGGCCTGTCTAGCTTTGGATTGCTCCACATGGAATGAGGCCACAGTGGGAGTAATACTTGGAACAAAAAGAGTTTGTGTGTCCAGCATGTCCAATGCAATTTCTTTATTCAATTCTATATATACAGTACATTGGTTATCAGCTGGTGAGGGTGCAGACTGTTTGGTTTCCATGCAATGAAACTGCATTATGAATTAACATTTGCTTTTGACGTATTATAAATAAGTTTCAAATGAAAAAAAGAACTCTCACCCAGGAGACGAAGATTCTCCTTTAAAAAAAACGAGAGACGGAGTTTTTAAGATATCCTTGCAGCTCCCCCCCAGTCTCAGGCCAAGTCCTCTATGAGCCTCTTCTCTCTCTGTCTTGGTCTTTGTCCTTCACGTGTCTGTGTTGTTACTTCTCCTCAGATCCTCTCTCTACTCTTGTAGCGTTTCAGACAGACCTGTGTGTTTGTGTGCGTGTCGGTCTGGGTGTGTGTGTTCGCGAGTGTGTATTTTAACGATGACCTCATAGCTCTGCTGACCTCCTCCTCCCCCCCCAGCAGTTGAGCAAGCTCCACCAGTTGGCTATGCAGCAAACCCCCTTTACCCCCCTCGGACAGACCACCCCTGCCTTCCCCGGTACGTACCCACCTACACTACGACCCTCTTTACCAAAGCTCCTTCTCTCGTTTTTACCTGTAGAGACAAAACACATTCTCTACCTCCTTTTTTTCTCTCTCTCTCTTCTTTTCCTGTCTCTGTCCTTACTCTTTTTCTTCTTCTCGTCGTTCTCCTCCTAATGGTCTCTGTGGTGCACTGCCATCTTTGACATGGCCTGCTGGTGGTCTGCTCTTGTTGATGTTGAGGTTTCTTTTGTTCTTTGGTGTTCCCTTAGTATCCTATTTTGAATGTTGCAAGTGCCTCAGATTGTTTTTTCCCCCTTTTAGAAAGTAGAATTCAACTTGTCAGGTGATAGGAGTTTTATAGAGTGAATGCAGGCTCTGCTCAAGGCTGAGCCAGACTTTCCAGTGACACAGAAATGCTACTGGTCACAAGCCAGGGAATAAAAAAAACCTCCAGAACTCCAGTGTGCCAAACTCTATTTTATGTCCTCTTCCTTCCCTCTCTTTCTGTGTGCCTCCTGTGTTCAGCAGCAGGTCTGGATGCCAGTAACCAGGCCAGTACTCATGAACTCACCATTCCCAATGATGTGAGTACATTTATCAGGATGTGTAACAATTCTATATACTTTTCATTTTCCCTGACTGATAACACCACCTTTGCCCAAAATGACAGGTCATCCATTTCTTAAATGAAAACAGGGTTAATTTTGCCTCCAGCACCACAAGTATTTAAAGATAACATTGTTGACAGTATTGAATAAAAACTGTCACACTTATTCAGCAGTTTTGATAATTTGTGGCCCCTTTGTCAATTTGTCTCTGCCACCGTACCTTAAAGTAAACCGCTTCTTTTAAAACATCTTGGCAGCAAACTTTTCAGAAAACTCATTAAGGTCAATGTGACATTGTGATTATATACTAACTCCTTCTTAAGTCCATTTATAGAGATTAGAAAGATGAATCCAGAAATAGCTGCATGAAACAGAAACAAAGCACGACAGTGATCAGAATTTTACTGCCATCACAACACAAATTCACAAATGTCGTTGGACCATGACGTCAAAAAACTCTGGTTTATTATCTTTTAACGTGGCCTCCTGTTGAAGCTTCCAGCGATACAATCTGACAGCAGATCAGCTGCGACTATTGAGAGCTCCTGCTCCACAGCAGAGATAAAGTACAGCCAAAGGCAGTCAGCTTCGTAAAGTGAATGTCCTTAATGGAAAAGACTTGTTTGACCAAAGTAAGAAATGTTAAAGTTATAGCTGAAAGGCTGACTTTGACTGGCTCGTATACACATAGTGAATCCAGTCGAATATAGCGTCACAGTATCTTTCATGGTTCCAGCCATCCTAAGTCCCATCCCTATTTTCTTCCCAGCTAATAGGCTGCATAATCGGACGTCAGGGAACCAAAATCAACGAGATCCGTCAGATGTCTGGGGCGCAGATCAAAATTGCTAATGCCATGGAAGGGTCATCGGAGCGCCAGATCACCATCACAGGGTCCCCCGCCAACATCAGCCTGGCCCAGTACCTCATCAATGCAAGGTCAGAACTCAATGGCTGTTCAAGACCAGCCTGATCTCATTTCAAAAAGCGTCAAATAGCCAATTTATGTCTTGGCCCTCGGTGTCTGATACCAATGCACGAGGCATCTGTACGAGACCTACCGGGCTTTCAAATAACTTCAATGTACACCCATCCAACCCATAGTTATCAGATGCTCGGAGTAACTGCTCTGTAAGTGAACAAACCCAGGACTTTCACCCAGGAGACCGCTACTCATGCCAAATACTCATACTTTACATTTGTATGTAAAGTAGGCTACGTAACTGAAGTATCGTAACGAACATACCCAACCACACTTTTAACCTAAGTGACACCAAGGCGTACCCGATGTGTCAAAAAGTGACACCAAGGTATTCTGAACAAGCGTCCGTTTAGGATGAATTGTGAATGAGAACAGTTTGTAAAGTCTGGAGTGAAGAAGTCAAAAGGAACAGTCAAGAGAAAAAAGTTGTACAGATGTAGACATGCAAACAACTGAAAGAAACGATACAAAAACTACTGGGGGATAAATGCAGGCTGTTTTATTAGGAAAATTAGACGTTAATCGCTTACTTCCCAATGATCCTCCTACAGGTTCAGAGACGTGGCGGCCATGTGGAACGACCCAACTTCCATGACCACATCCTGAGATCCCTGACTGGCTCCTCCGTTTGGCCCTTTCCAATGACAGACTACCGCAGACAACCCTGATGAAGCCCTTCGGACTCTGGCTCTGGCTCTCCGAAAACCATGACCGCCTTCCTGCCCTGGTTCAAAGTTGTTTATAAGTCAGGGAGGGTTGGGCGATCATTTTTATTTCAGAGAGCCAAATTAAATAGAAAAAAAATAAGAATTACAAAAAGGAATTCTCTGTTGATTAGTTTTCTGTTAAAGCATGTTGAATGTTTATTAGGAACAACTTGTGCTAATCTTTTTCTTCTTTTTCTCTCTCTATTGCTTTCTCTTTCTTTCTGTCAGTGCTGCGTCATAGAACATCATTAAAAGTATACACTTGTAAAAGATTCAGAATTTTTGTAGAACGTAGTTATTTGCATATTACAGCTGCGCAGTGATGCTATCGGCAGAGTGTGTGGTGGGATGTAGCCAAAGTATTCAATTTTGATAATATATTTTGAAAAAAAAAAAAAATTGGACTGTTCTGCTTTTGTCCTAATTTGCATCTTTGTCTACTTACAAATCCAATCTCTACCCATGACTCTTTGCTGCATCACATGACCCTTTTAAGCCAATGGTATCACTCCTAGAGCCTCCCTTCTCGTGTTGATTTCCTATATTTACATTATTGCTTATATTGCATGTGTTCAATGTCGTGTCGTTGTGCATTTCAGTAAACCTGTTCAGTGTATGTGTTCCTTCAAATGTTAGTATTATATCTTTGTGCTCCCGTTCTTTTCCAAAAAAATTTTCAACATTTTTGGCCATTCACGTCTAGTCCTACTTCCTGCCCAAATGAGAAAACTTTCCAAAATAGCCTCCTTCTATCAAAACCGATTATTAGTATTTAGATGCATGAATGGCAATTGGTGGCTAAAACACTAACTGAAAATTAAAATGATTGTTTACTAACTTCTTCTTATTATACTGTATTTGTTTTGTACAAGGACTTTTGTGATTTAGCACATTAGTCAACTACGCGGCGCTCATGCAATAGACTATTCAACACTTTACTCTGGACTGCCTCTGATGTGTGAGGAATTAGTTGGACTTAAAAGCCAAGTGTTGCGTCCAAACCGTTCGGCTTCCTTCCCTTGTATTGGAAAAACGTTGAGGTCTTTGAGAAAGCTTTTGAGAGAGCGAAAAACATGGGAAAGAAGCCGACTCGTCACGGCAAAGAGGCCTGAACGTTTGGACGAAGCCAAATGGTATTTTTTGGGCCACGGAATGTTCAGGGGTTCATTGGGGGGGAACTCGCAGGGCCTGGGCGGACGTGACCACTCAGTCTCTTTTTCAAGATTGTTCATCTCGTCTTTTTGTTGTCATAAGATTGATTTGACGCTTTAGGTTTGAATGTCTTTTTATTGTCATGACTGTCAACAACTTAATTGTTTTTATTTGAAAAAGGACAGGTTGGATGACATTTCCTGTGTCACTGGTTTTCAGTAAAAACCAGCATGTATTTATTTATGGTGTGGTGATGCACATATGACTTTTTGGTTGTTGATCATGAAACTTAAGCTAAGTTAGTTTTGTCGTATTGTATTTAATTTGAGAGGGAGGTGTGGATGATATTTGGTATGGTTCAGTATTTCAACCATCCCTCACGTGTTTTACTGATGAGGATGCTCTAAATACGATTGGACAGCTTGAGTCGTCTCATTTCCGATCAGCTGAGCTCAATTAAGTTTTGACATAATACAGCTGTTGAATGTTATTGTCGAATCACATTATCTACTGTCCAACACAGCATCATTCTGCATTTCCAGTGTCTCAATTTCTTTATACATACCACTACTTCTGTTTTATTGCTAGCCATATGCTGAGCTTTAAGGAAACGTTTGATATCTCGGGAAATATGGTTTTTCGATTTCTTGTCAGATAAGAATTCCATTTACCAGCACCTAAAGTTCACAAATTAAGTTGATTTACTTTTTCTTCCATCTTCACGCTAAGCTAAGTTAAGCTAACCGTCCACTGGTTTTTGCCTCATATTTAGCAAAGAAAGCAAATAGAACTCAGAGGGCTTAAACTATAATGAAATAAGTAACATTCTTGACTTCAAGCAACCAGCTTGAAGAGACTCCAGCTGTAGTAGTCCGGATCAGGAAACAGTGCGGCTCATAACCGACCATTTACATCGATTTGTTGTTTTTACACTTTAGTTTATACAAATTAAAAAAAACACAGCTGGTAGGCAGATTTTGTTACCTTTGAACAGAGCTAGGCTAGCGGTTTCCTCCGTTTCAAGTCTTTATGCTAAGCTAAATTACCCAGCTGCTAACAGTAGCTTCATATTAAGAGTACAGTGATGAGAATGGTATCAATCATGTCATTTAACGCTCTGCAAGAAATTGAATCAACATATTTGCCAATAGGTCAATCTTTCCTGTAACTTTGGGTCTTAAGCGCTTCGATGACATAAATGTGATTATGTAAATGGACAAATGCTGTATTGCTATACTGAACCATGCATAGTCAATGATTATTCTGCAATAATTCTTACATTTTGATGTGAACTCAAGTAGTAGTGCTAGCATTGAAATTATGAATTTGTGTTTCTTTTTATTTTGAGTTGTCATAGCTTGTACTTCAATGGGAATGTTTGTCAAATGAATACAATTAAATTATGTTTTTGGGCAAACTTGCTTTTTAGAACAGTTAGCTAATACCTAAGAGGGCATTCTTTCCCAACAGTACTGTGACCGTAAAGAACATCCTCAAGGGTATTATGGCTTTTACACAACTGTTATCAGTGCATGTGTACCATTGAAATGTTTTACTTAAATTGGTACACATTTTGTAAGCATTAAAAACATTGAAAAACAATGATTACTAATGCTAATTAGCACAGTTGGCGCGTGCATTTGACAAAGATCTTGTTGTGTGATATGAATTTGGTTGCTATGGCAGTGTGATTTCAATAACATCGATATTCATGAGTTACTCAGTGTTTGAAACCTGTATTTACATTTGTGTATATGCCTGAGTATACTACAACTTTGAAACAAACTGCAACTAATGCAATAATAGGGTGCAATGTGCAATTATTTATTCAGTTATTATTAGTATAGATACAGGAGAACTGTGTAGCTTATTTAAAACACTTTTTTTAAATCCACTTTCCATGTGGCAGCAACAGCAGGAAAAAAAGAATGACTAGACATGTTTTTTTTCAGCTTTTGTTTGTGTGTATTGCAGTTTGGGGAAAAAAAGTGATAGAACTTCGTAACTATTTTCGATTGATTTATTTGCTATGTGCAGATCTATATTAGTTGTGAGTAATTACATAGGTTTTAATTTCAAAGTGTTGGTAAGTATAAAAACAAATAAACTTTCATTTTTTTCTTTCTGTGACTTGTTTTTCTCTGGTTTCTCTTTGCTGCCTCTTACAGAATATGAATGACTTCAGATCATTTCTACATGCTGCCTGTGCACACATTAGTACCCGATGAACCATGAGCTAACATGGGCTATGTCGAGCAAAAATACCCCTGGGGAGATTTTGATAGTTACTGAATACAGTTCATTTTTGTATGGCAAAGTGATTATGGTAATAGGATGATGAAGTTTAAATGGGATCTCTTTTGTTTTTCCATTAGATAAATGTGTAATTTTGCTGGAACAAACACTCAAGTTAGATGAATAGGGCAATTGAATATTACCAGTCATACAATTATTGTCTAAAGCATTGGTTGTAAAAGAAGGGCCCGGGGACCTTTGTGAGGTCTTATAGGAGTTCTGTGGAGGTGTGCAGCAAAATTAGGAATAACTATAATAAAGCATTAACTATTTAGATTCATACCAATTATAGAATGATAAGGATGACTATTCCAAATGTTGCTCGCTCACACTTGTATTTCATTAGCTACACTACAGACAGTTATTAAAGGGAAACTCCATCAATTTAGCATTGCACTAAAACATTATCCTCCATTTCCCTTATATGCCTACATGTATTTTCATCTCTTTTTTAAGCTCCCTCTTAAAACTATCATTCAATCAGTGCAATTTCTCTCACATCCTCTCTCTCTGTGGTCTATTGAACAAACCTGTCCCTTTCGTTAATTTCTCCATGAACCAGCCACACACATACACATGTATGAAGGCATTTGTCACTCTAGAATCAGACTGCAACAGACAGATATGAGCTAAGATCCAAATGGTTCTCCCCTCTGCATTGAAAGAGTAATTTCAACATCTTGATATGAGATGGCTTGCCTTTGAACCTGCAGATTGCTTTGCCAAAATGAATGTTGGACATGCAGACCTCTCTCACACAGCTCTACCAGAGCATGTGATACACCTTCTCATCATGCACCCATGTAGGAACTTTGCATGGATTAGGCCGAAGAACAACAGATACATCCAAGAGGCAACGTTCTCCTTCTCTAGCTCTGCTAATAAGACCGGGAACCTCGCAGTTGGGAGCATTTCACAAGGGAAAAGTTCATACACAGGATTTCCTCTTGACCTCAAGAGATATTTGGGAGGATAATTTGTTCTGTTCCTGGATTTGTTTTAAATCTAAGAAGATCCTCAAGGAGAAAGCTGATCTTAATATTGTTTGTGGCAGAGCAGTGAACGACTTTAGACAACGCAACGGAAAAATATGGTTCATGCTTCTGAAATGGGAATGCTCACACTTTTAGTCGGATAATAGTTTCTGGCTGCCAAGGGTAGATTAAGACATTTTGGTGAGAGCCAAGAAGCTGTGTGAGAAGTTGATAGGCAGGCCATAATCACTGGCAGAGATTCAGCTCAGAGCTTTGCAAGAGCATGACTGAGGAAAAGTCATTATTATTTCACATCGTGTTAGCAAAAACAAAATAAATGTCAGCACTACAGCATGGTAGTTTCCCTCCGAAGCAGTAAGGTGCCACTGATTTGAGTATACCCAACATTCAATTACTTCAACTATATCTCTTAATAAAACTATATTAATGTTTTGGTGTGGCAATATTACAACATCCAGCCTCAGCTGCCATTATTATATAGATTGAGTTATCTCATAAATCCAAAATGCTTCGCTATAAGGCTGCAGGAAACAGTCCTAAAGCCCACGAATGAGTCTAAAAAAAGGCTGTTGCTAACAAGTGGCTGAAAGAAAACAAAATGTCTTTGCACATGCCAAACTCAACTCAAACACATACGTAAATGTTCATGTCCATTCAAGCCTTGAAAGTGCTCCAGCTGCCGGTCACTTTATATTCTCTAGCAGAAAATGAATCACACCGCCCAAAATAACTCCCTCACCATCACAACTCAACTGGAGCCAGTGATTTATTTAATAGCATGATGTGACTGTGACATACAGCTTCCCAATGAAATTAGAGGCTCACAGTATAATCAGGTAATCTACTGCATTTAAGAAAGATGTATCTGTTCTTTGCTGTTGCCTATCCAACCATATACACTGGTGCAAGGGAAGCAAACATCTCATTACAATTTGTCACAAAGCCACTTAAAGTTCTAATAAAAAAAAATCACGTTTGTTTCTATTCTAAAAAGAAGTAAGAACAAGTTATAACAAAAAAAAGGACATTGTCAAATGAAGTGGCCAATACACTGTGCATCAGCTCTCCTCAGTCAATTTACCTCCAATAACAGTTCAATAAGGGTTCGACCGACTGAGCTCGTCCCAAAAAGTAAAGGCGTTCTCTGCCCCTACGTTGGCTTGGCATCAACGTTGGAGTTGGTCCATGACTTCACTCAGCAATGCTGTAAGCCACTTACAGACAACCTTCTGTATAATGCAAAAGACTGATGTCAAAGCAATGAGGGAGACGATGTGCAAGTCAAAAAGTGTGATGACACCCCTGGCCTTTTTCCTGCTAGTGCAGAGCAATTGCAAACAGAGTGAGCAATGCAATGTCAGACAGTCTCTGCAGCGGGGAAGCATAATGAAATGTACTCAGCGTGGCTTTGAAGAGGTCAATATATACTGTAGGGCAGCGCAGTGCTGCTTTCACAGAGTCTCTTCACAATGTCATCTGTAACAAAGCAGGCAGGAAGTGCAGATGGGGCAGAATGATGTTGAAACTATGGCTCTACTCAGAGGAAGTCTGTTGATGTTAAATATGTCTCAATGTCCATAATGCTTACCCAACAAAGGTTCCCTAAATTGGCTCAGCCCCATATCATTTTGGGGAGAAGCAGGAATTTATCTAAGATGGGTCAGCAAGTCTGCAAGGAGTCCGACAAAGATTAGTAAGAGTGTTAAACAAATGGCTAGGCCAGTCTCAAGCATCTTAAACATCAGAGAATATGAAGTAACTCTTTTACCTGGGACAGGTCAAATGCTTCAGTAGTCAATATAATGAATGAGTCTGCCTTTCAGCTAAATTGACAGGGCTGAACTCTGCACATTTAATCATGCAGGTGTTTTGCAAAGCGCTGGCTGCATTCAGGTGACCTTTATGTCACTGCGATACAGCTGGGAGTACCTTCGTCACCGCGGCTGTAAAGTGGTCTCTGTCCAAGTCCTTCATCAGGGCAGGACAATTGTAATCAATGTTTATGAAGAATGACAGAGTGTCACAGGAGGGGCATGAGGAGGCAGCACTAGGTTACCAAAATGGGGTTCAGGGACAACTGAGGTAGAGGAGCTCCAGTGGGATGCTTTTATGTCTTATTTTATTTGAATTACTGATCAGAGGCTTTATTCTAAAGTTCTGTTTTGTAACTCAATTATATCATATTAGTGACTGTGCAGTATCTATTTGGATATTTATATATCTGCCTGCATAAATATAATAAGGAACTGCATGCATGCACAAAAGAGGTTATTTGCAACATGCTGCCCTTTAAATTGACTTTGTCTAAGTGCTCATTGGTGTGCTGTTTTTACACTACACATTATATATACCAGACAGGGATACACAAAAATGAAATGTGCAAAGCAGACAAAGGAGACCTCAAAACATAAAGAGGAGGCTTAGATTTAAAAGGTGCACGTGAGCATGATATTTAGATTTGCTACATCAGTGGATGCAGTGGAAGGAGCAGATCGTTTTTTCAATCCAATCTTTTGTTTTCAAGAATTCAGCATTTATTCTAGTGAACTCCAGAAATGATGCTCAGCATTTTGAAAAATATTTTGTAGTTTTACTTGACAATTGAACAAAATAATATACCAATTAATGTTGTGGACAAAGTTTTGAATTCTTGTACTTATGATTATTCTCTTTCTGGTGTAGAGTTAGATTAGTTAGCTTAGCATAAAGACAATGTACTTAACTATAATTTAGAGGTACTTGTACTTCCCTTAAGTATTTACATTGTCTGTTTTTATACTTAAGGCAAATATTGTACCCTTTTCTCCGCTACATTTATTTTACAAGTTAAGTTACTCATTAGTACAACACAGTTACTTATTAATGAATATATGATGATGTATTATATGTTAAACTGTCCAGAAGCATATAATGTAATTAGTCCACTTTTACCAGCTGCAACTTTATAAAGGGCTGAACACATCAATGCAGCAATAACTGTATCAATATTATAGGATACCGATTCTGCATGATTAATATTTTTTATATTTTGGTCCTTAAAAGTACATTTTGATTCTCATACTTTTGTACTTAAATGACATTTTTAAATGGACTTTTGTGATATAGTATTTTTACACTGTAGTACTTTTTTTTTCCTATTATATTGACATATTGTGATGAACACATTGGATAAAAATCTGAGGAAATTATGTAGCTACTGGTCATGACTCGCAGGTTCAGATCCAAACGGGACCACAGGGTGCAGCTGCTGCGCCTCTGCGCATATCTATACACACACACACACACACACACACACACACACACACACACACGCTGCAAACCTGCACTGACAAGAGGTTGCAAACTGCGATCAAACAGTTGGATTCGGACTCCTGAACTGGCTGTAATCTCTGATTAGTGCCGTTTATTTGCAAAGACTGATTTGAGGTTTTCTCCGGTTTATTCATTTATTCCTGGATATTTAATCAAAGACAAGAACCCCCGTGAATGCGCGGTGAGGTGAGCCGGACAGAGTGGAGCTATCAGGTTGGTGTCGACTCAAATAACAATATAATTTCTTTCTTTCGCGCTTGGTCATTTTAAGATTAGGCTATAGTTTGTCACCAACTGGGCGTCAGAATTAATAGGGTTATTGATTTGTCACTGCAAAAAATGCTGTGTAAGACATATTTTAATATTCTTAAGTGAACTTTAAGAAATTGGCTGCAACTATTTATTTTCCTTTTTGATTAATCATGCAATTCGTTTCTAGATTGATTAATTACTTAGTCCAGACCATTTTGGGTTTATCAGAGCCTGAGGTGACATCTTAA